GCTGTTTTCAGGAGTTGCCCCCTTTCCCCGCCGCCCGGTGCGGGTCTCGGTGGCCGGTGTTGGGGGCGCGGGGCCGGTGGGGGGGGCGCGGGGCCGGCGGGCAGACGGCGGGTGTTAATTGGCGCTGCTCGGAGCCTTCCAGAGAAACTGCGGGAGCCGAACGAGGCGCCCAGACATCCCCGGAGCCAGCTGCGGCTCGGCAGACACGTAATTAGAGATAAGCCCCCAGCCTGGCTGCAGAGCAATTCCCGGCATCGATTAGCGCCCAGGTTTTTTCCACACAAACACCCGCCCCAGCATTTCGGGCTACCTTGGCAGCAAATAAACGAGCCAATTACCCCGACCGGGGATTGCTCGCAAGGGCCCTGGGGAGCTCGGCTGGAAGCCCCCTCGCCAAAGCCACTGTGGTCGCAGCCACGGGGACACGGCGTGGCCACCCCCTCCCTCCCCGCTAGTCCCCGGGGCTAGGACGCTCGCCTTCGGGCTGGGACGGAGCCCAGCTCGCCCACGGACCCCCCCGACAGAGCCTCGCCCCATAGAAACTGCCTTTGTGGGACAAAACCACAGGCTTTTCGGACGACTGCTCCCATTTTGCTTCCAGCCCCCCTTTTCAATTTTTCTCCCCTTTCTGGGGAGGTGTTGGGAGCGAGGCACCCCCCTCTCCCACAGCTGGCTCGCAGAGGCTTGGCCCCACTTGCCCACAGCCCCCAGCCGGGCTCACCCCCATCCCCAGGAGCCCGGGATGGCTGGAGGAGCCCGGGTCTGTAAATCTGCCTTGTACTCAGGGCTTTGTCTCTTCCAGGGCAGGCAGCATCTGGTAGCCCCCTTCGTTTAACCCGTATGCATCCAGGCTTTGGAGAGGAGGAAGAAAGGACAGGGATGGTTACGGTGGCCAAAGCTGCCGGTCACAAACAGGAGCTCCCCCGGCTTCCAGGGCATGTTGGCGAGCAGCTCAGCTCTTGGTTTGCCACCTGGAACGGCAGGCCGTGGCCGTGGGGGGGGTTGTGGCCCGGGGGCTGCTCCTCATCCAACCCTTCCCCAGGCAGCAGCGTCAGCCAGTCCCGCTGGATTTTAGGTCTGTCACCCATCCCTCCAGACCTGAGGGTCTGGAGCTTTTTGCTTGACCAAAAAGCCCGTGCTGTGACCTGTTCCCACCGCAGGACCCTGTTGAAGTCCCCAGGGGAGAGCAGAGCCACCTCCAGCACCTGGTGAAGCCAGCCATGGGCCAGCAGACCAGACCCTTCCCTGCCTGACGCGGGAACTGACGTTTGGCTCCAGGGCAGGATGAATTTCAAGGAGAAGCAGCAAAAGCCACCCCCTACCCTCCGCCTGGCCCAGCCCTGGCTCTTTGGGCTCACCAGCCTGTCCCCAGCTGAGCAGGACCCACAGCTGAGCCGCCGAGCGAAGGCTGGGATGGTGGAGCCCCGCTCCGGTGCCAGGACAGTGCCCTGCCGGCTGCCCAGCGCCTTGGGGGGCCGTGGTTCCCCCCCCGAGGGCTCCATGGACCAGCCTCAGTCTGCCCCAAGCTGAAGCAGCCAAGGGCGGCTGGACGGGGCCAGACAACGCCAGAAAAAGCCCACACAGGCTGCTTTCTGTTCGTGTGTTTTGGCTGTGCAATGTCACAGCCAACAGTCAGTACCTTGGGTGGGTTTAACCTCTTCCCTCCTCTCCAAAGGTTGGAGAAATCTGGATTGAACAAGAACACGTTACAGAACTTGGCTCCTCTGAGAGACGTAAAACCCAACCTGAACATCGGCTGCCTCTGACAAGTGGGACTGGGGAGCTGGCACCTGGGCCAAGAGGAGACAAGGGGCCTGGGAGAGGTTTCCTCTAGTTATGAGAGGTCCTTCCATTGTTGAAAGCACCTTCCAGCAGGCTCTGGCTGGTCCTCCTGAGGAGCGCAGGAATCACCAGCTGGAGCTGAGATGTGTCCGTGCCCTATGGGTCCGGACAGGGTCTGCTCCACGTTCTGGGGGTGGGAAGGACCCGAGTGAGGCTGCAGGAAACTGGGATGAGGCAACGGATGAATCTAGAGCCTCATGGTCTGGTCCCTGGTGGTGGGAGTGCCCAAAACACACCTTGGCTGCGGAGGTTTTTATTCTCTACCTGTGGTTCATTCACTGTGATTTGTAAATTGACAAGGTTTCTGGATTCCTGCCTGGCCCCATAGTTTCCATGAACACCTTCTCCCTCTCCTTTTTGGCCACATATTTTTTGTGAAGGATACTCACGTTATACTCGGGTTAAATAAAGTTCTTCATGCCGTGATGTTTCCACTCCCTCCTGTGTCACTCCGATGCCCCAGGACCCCTGGGGGTCCGG